TTTGGGCGTATTTTGGTCTGTTAGAAGAAAGTGCCTGCTAAAATTTTAAAGGAAGAAAGACTTATATATGTACAAAATAAGGGTTGATACGATGAAGGGATGGAAGATGACGATAAAGATAAAAATTATAAAAGATTTTATAAAAGGAATTGATAAGATAAGAAGTTGTTTGAAAAAAGAAAGAAGATTTTTAAAAAAAAGGGAGAGAATGTGATCAGGCAGGAGATGAGAACAAAGCCATACACTAGTGATTTAGGGTATATTTTGATCTGTTAGAAGAAAATGTATCTCAAAATTTTAAAGAGAGAACAACTTATATATATATGCCAAAAATAAGGGTAACTACTATGAAGGGATAAAATATGACTCTAAAAATGAAAAATAAAAAATGTTTTTTTAAAAAGGTATTGATAAGATGTTGGTTGAAAAAGGGAAAAAGAAAATTCCAAAAAAAAAGAAAATTCAAAAAATTAACTTTGAAAAAGTAATGAATCATGGTAAAAAAGCCATGAATTCTATGTGCAGTATTCCCCTAGCGCTGGAGTTCTGTTCTCCTTGATCGGTAAACTTGGTCTTGGCTTGCTGGCTGTTCATGCTGATCTTCTCAGGGAGGGGCCTGTTGCCGTGGTTCCCAAATGTCTTTGCCGGAGGCGGAATTGCCCGGCCCTCGTGGGTCCGGGCTAAGCAAGCTGCTCAGGTTTGCTCTCAGGAGCTTTTGTTCCCTGCAAGCTCTCGGTACAGCTTTGGAGGACAACAGTGAAAATGGTGGCCTCCCAATCTCCGCCCGGAGGAGCCGGGAACTTGGGGCCCCGCTCCTCAGTGCGCCCCCAGAGAAAAGCAGTCACTCCCGTGTCCCCGGTCTCCGGCCGCACTCCGTGCTCACCCGGCCTGTGACCGAGCGTTTCTATCTCTGGCGCCCGACCCCGTGTGGAGTCTCCAAACCCAGCAGATCCCTGCGGTGCGCTCCCGCGCCGCTCCTCCCGGGGGAGGAAGGGGAGTCTCCCCGGCTCTGCCGCTTGTTGGGTCCCTGCTGCAGGAGCAGTCGCCCGACTGGGCCGCGGATCACAGTTTATGGCCACCGCGAGCTGAGAGCCCACGCCTCGGCTCCGTCTCTGCAGCCGGCTTCCCCGCTCTGATACCCGGGAGCTCTGCTGCACTCAGGCACCCCGGTCTTTCTGTGACCCCGAGGGTCCTGAGACCACACTGTCCCGCGAGGGTTCCACCCCCCGCTTAGCCACTGGAGCGACGTCCCTCAGCAGAGCCGACTTCTAAAAGTTCCGATTTTGTGCTCCGCGGCTCTAGCACTTGCCAGAAGCGGCCGACGGAGGCCCCTCCCCCGCCGTCTATCCTCCCGAATATCGCCTCGGATTCACTTCTCCGCACGTCCTACCTTCCAGAAAGTGGTCGCTTTTCTGTTCGGAGAGTTGTTGCTACTCTCTTCTTCGGTCTCCTGTTGAGTTCGTAGGTGTTCAGAATGGTTTGATCCCTATTCAGCTGAATTCCTGAGACCAGACGAAATCCAGGTCTCCTACTCCGCCATCTTGCTCCACCTGAAGGTCTTTGTTTTCAAAGGAAATACACAGTTGTAATAAATCCTTAAACAGGTTGTATTAAATTAGCATTTTAGATGTACTTTCTCTGCCAACATCAGGGCTTTGGGCTAATATATATTCTTTGCTTTTAAAACAAGGACGCTCAGAACAGCAGAGCATTCTGGAAGGGTGCGTGGGAGGGTGGCAGTGCCCCAGCATGTGCGCTGGCCGTGGAGTCTGGGGTGAGTCTGCTGGGAACATAGCCGGCTCCCCCTCAGCCAGGGCCTCCCAGAAGACCCCAGCCCCACACCAGCAGCAGGCTCTGTGTTGGCTTTGTTCACTCCTCCCAGCAGCCCCCAGTCCTGTTCCACACAGAGTCCAAGTGTCCGCACCTCCGACCCTGGTTCTCGGTAAAGCCCTGTCTACAGGGTGGTTGGAGGCCAGGGGCTTCCTGAAAGTGACGCTCATGAGCTGTGAGGAGACATTTGCTGCCCATGTTCATCTAAACCATTCCACATGGCTGGGGGTTCATCCAGTGTGCAGACCTATAAAACTGTCCCTAAGTGTTCTAGGCATGAAGGAGGAATGACTCCCCAGAAGAGAACAGCCCTTTGCCGTTCACATGTCTCACCATGACGACCTTCCTCCAGGCCTCTCAAACCACGCTTGGTCTCCAGAGCGCTGAAACACACAGTGGTGGGCAGGGCCAGCAGGTGCAGGCCAGGTGGCCAGGCCGGTCCTCCTGCGAGCCTAGGAGTCCCCCACCCACGCCCACAGCTCGCTTCCACTCAGGCTTCCGGCGCCCAAGGCGGGGCTGGTGCAGGTCAGAAGGGAGCCGCTAGGGAAGCAAGAGGGACCCAGGAGATGGTGCTGAAGCCCCAGGGCCTTCCAGCAGTGCCCCCTGACGCCCGTGGCTCTCCCAGCGTGCCTGGGAGGGGCTGCAGGGTGCAGAAGAGCCGAATCACAGCATCAGTGTCTTGTGTGCAAAGACAGTGGTTCTTTGGCAAAATGCACACACGCACGCACACACATGCAAACGCCCGCACGCAAGCACGCACATGCAAACACGCACACACGCACGCTTGCGCGCACACACGCACACATGCACACGCGCGCGCGCACACACACACACAGATTTAGTTCGGGTGGGTCACCATACAGACAGCGGCCTCGCAGTAGCTGGGGATCCGTGAGAGGCTCGGCGGGCATTCCCAGGGGGCAGACGCTAGGTCAGCATCGGAGCTGAGCAAGCACACCCCTGAAGCGCGAACACAGGAAACGACAGAGATGCCAGGCCCCCAGCAGCTGCTGTTCCCTGCGGGGAAGGGCAGGGACCCGCCCTCCCCCTTCCTCTCCCCGGAGCCTGCCGCAGGCGTGGCTAGCCCTCCTTTGCTGCCCATGAGCACCGGTGCGGTGAGTGTCTGCAGAGGGCCGCGGACCTTGGATCCCAGGGACCAACCTCTTGTCTTTACTTGCTTCTGACGACTTCTCTTTGCTTGGCCTCATTTTTCCAGACGGATTCACTGGCATTTTCTCATTATCTATCAAATCCGTGGCAAAGGGAATCTTTGAGGCCACCTGGGAAAATTCAAGATGTTTCTAGGAATCCGAGGGGACACTGCCGTTCACACAAAGCAGGCGCCCGGGGGGACCGGGGCTTGTCCTTCCTCTGTGAGGAGGCGCATCGGTGGCTGTCCTGAGGAGGCCACGCTCCACCCACTCCCGCCTTGGGCTCGGCCGGCCACTGGCTGGAGGGCGGGGGGGGGGTAGGCAGGGCGCAGAGGTGCCGGGCACCGGGATGCCGGGCGGGCCTGGAAGGTGATCCCTGCCCGAAGTTCTGTTCCTCACAACAGACAGAAAACACACTACGATGGGCCCCAAATCTCTCCAGTGGACGCCACTATATTTTCGATTGCTGAGTTTCAAGCTAATGCGTAAGCACTCCTCCACAACTGACAAGTGGGGGGGAAGCAGGAGTCGGGTCCTTGCAGAGCCTGTGTCATAAAGTCACGGCTCTTAGATCAATGACATCAAGAACCCGCACAAATAAATGTTGAAACTCAAGAGAAGTACTTCAAAGTTGGCTTTTTTGGATACAGCACACTGTGATTCCAAGTGAAAACCTGCCGCATCCACGGGACCACAGGTGGAGTGCCCGCGTGTCTCTGTGCGTGCGCACCTGTGCCCGTCTGTCTCTGTGTGCATGTACCTGAATGCGCCTATGTCTGCACCTGTATTTGTGCTTCTGTCTGCGCGTGTCTGTGTATCTCTGTGCGCGCACCTGTGCCCGTGTAGCTCTGTGTGCGCGCACCTGTGCCCGTCTATCTCGGTGTGCATGTACCTGAATGCGCCCTTGTCTGCACCTGTGTGTATTTGTGCTTCTGTCTGCACGTGTCTGTGTACCTTCCTCTGAGGAGGCATGCCCCTTAGGGTGTCAGAAAGTTGGGCAGAGGGGAAGACAGGGCACGTGCAGGGGTGGGGAGGGGAGGGTGAGGCAGGTGCTGAACCCCTCCTACCGGGGGCTCCTTCAGCTGGAGTCTGGTGGGATCAATGTAGCGCTTACCTAGACTGTGCCTGCAACGGTCTCCTCTGCCACCACACCTCTAAGTGGATTACCAGGGCCTGTCTGGTCATCACATGCCTGAGCCTTAGAAGACGCTTAATACCACAGGCGGGGGGAGGGGGGCAGGCAGAGGGGAGGGCGGGAGCTGGCCCACTTTTACATAATGAGGACTCTCCTAAACATTATTCCAACAGGAAGAGAAGAACACATGTGAATTTAGTAGGTGTTTTTTAAAGTCAGACATGCAACTTAATTTTTTTTTTTAGTATAAAAGTACATTACTTGGAAAGAAGTTCCCAGCTACATTTTACTATCTGTACAAAACACAGAGGAGGAAGACTTCCCAGACACCCAGTCCTCTGCTGAGAGCAAGGACCAGGGGCAGGGTGGGAAACAAGGTGGGTGGGTGGTGCCCTGTTGTGTCCCGCGTCCTGCTGGCCACAGCCCTTCTGCGCAGGGACAGAGCCTGACGCAGCCATCTGTTGGGGAGGACATGCAGGGCTGGCTTTCACTGGTACACAGTCACCTTGCAGAGGACAGTGCAATCCACAGACGTGTCTCTGTGTGCGGGTGTTTGTGATCGGACTGCTGCTATCAAAGCACAAATTACCAAAAGCTCAAAGAAATTCGCATTTTTAACTTAAAGAGCTACTTCCCCATGCTGTAGCAACCGCTGTCCCCAGTCTGTCCCACGCGGCCCTGCTGAGTGGCTGGTTGATGGCGTCATCCCCACAGCTCCCGAGCAGGCTGAGCCTCCCTCCTGCTGACCGCTGTCAGCTTTCCCCCTCTGGGGACTGCCCCTTGCCCACTTTTCTATTGGATTCTTTAATTTAAAAAAGTCTATTTGTAGTCATTCATCATAGATAGTAACCTTATGTCTCAAAACATGTTACAAATAGGTTCCTGTATCTTTTGACTTTATGGTATTTTAGTCAATCTAGGAATTTCAGTTTTAGGAAGTTAAAATTTTTTATTTTTAGTTTCAGAGCTTCTGTATTTCCTATTTGATTTATGAAATTTTGTGTCATTCCAGGTTATACAAATACTCTGAAGTTTTCATACTATAAAATACAACAGTGACTGTGTACAGTACCTCCACGTAGTTTACAAATTATACATCACAGGATACCCTTCTTCTTGCAGAGTATCAAGGAAGTCATATTTTCAACTAGAACTAACCACATGCAAGAAGTTAGCTCCAGCGATCCCACCTCTGGGCGCACCCCCAAGGACTGAATGCAGGGACTGGAACAAATGTTTGCACCCCGTGTTCCCAGCAGCATGGTTCACAGCTGGAAGGGGCCCGAGCATCCACATGGATGAAGGGAGGAAGGGAGGAAGGGAGGAGGGTCTCAGCCCTGCGAGGAGCAGCCCCGAGGGCCTGATGCCGAGTGAAAGAAGCCAGACACAGAAGGACCAGCACTGCGTGCCCCACCTTCGTGAGGTCCCCGGGGCGGGCACTGTCAGAGACGGAGACTAGACGGTGGGCGCCAGGGCGGGGGAGGGGATGGGGACCGAGCTTCAGTCTGGGAGGATGAGAGTCGTGGGGCTGGAGGGTGGGGCTGGCTGCACAACACGGTGAATGTGCTGGACGCCGCTGAGCTGGGTGCTTGGTCGGGGAGGGCTCATGTGCGTGGTGTGCATTTTACCAGAATCTTACAAACAGGAGCATACTACAGCACACCAGCCGACAGCCTCCACAATTACAAGGGCGCCTTACTACAACTCTGAGAACAGGGCCAAGGCCTGCCACCCGCCGGGCCAGTGGTCTCTCGACCTGGTCTCAACGACGCCCTCTGCGTAATGGGAGGGGGTCCCGGCAGCCAGCAGAGGAGAGGTGCACCCAGGACCTTGGCGTGGACGGGGCAAGGAGCTGTGCTGTGGGGCTGTGTGCACTTGGGGCCTGACTCTCAATGGTGCACCCCCCATCGAGGGCCCCTTGCTGGGTCCGTCCCATTCAGCGCCCAGGGCAGGCGGAAGGGGAATCGGGCTGATGGGCAGCAGGCAAGACCTGGCACAGGCGACCGTGAATCCTGTGTGTCTGGCCTGAGAAGCCAGAGGCTGGCTGAGGAGGGAGCCTGGTGGCGGATGATGGCACCAGGACATTCCTGGCCAGCAGGGGCTTGGGAGCCCGGGAGCCTTCCAGAGCTGCTGCGTGTGCTCCGAGGACTCACGGAAGAGTGGAGGCCCAGCAGGCAAGGGCAGAGCAGCTGCAAAGGCCCTGTGGCAGAGAAGAGGGTCTAGGCAGGACGACAAGTAGAATCCAGGAGGCCCTGGAGGGGACAGGCAGGGGCAGGCTGGCAGCCATGAGCTGAGCGGCGTGACAGGGAGGACTGCTAGGACTGGAGAGACCTGGACGGTGGTGGGGTGGGCGTCGAGAGGGGGAGGTTGGTAGAGAGACCATGAGGCCTGGCTGCCAGGGACAGAGCCAGTCTTGGGGACGCCTGACCCAAGGAGGACAAGAACAGCTTCTTCTCGCTAGGCCTGACAATGAGGTGGTCAGGGGAGACCCTGGGACAGAGGGGCTGGTGGGGGCAAAGAGCACATGTCCCTCCAGGAGCTGGGGGCAGCAGCGACACTCACTGCAGAATGCTGCCCAGCCTGAACCCTGGGCTTGGGTTTCGGGGGGCAGCTCGTGGAGGGAAGGGCCCTGGGCGGGGCTGGGAAGGGACAGCTGGGCGTGTGCAGAGTCCTGTTTCCAGGCAGGACCTGGGTCTGGGTGACAATGGGGCGCAGGAACGGGGCCAGGAGCGGAACCAGCGGTCTCGGGGCCAGGGGAGGGCAGGGGAAGAGCGAAGCCTGGTCTGGCAGCACATGGGAGTGCTGGGCAGGGACTGGCTGGTGGGCTGAACGTATTTATTTCCTAACTGCTCTTTGCGGCAGTCCTGTATTGTGGCCATGCTGAGTCCTGATCCCTGAAGGACATGTATTAAGTGTATGCAGGTGAAATGATAGGACGTGTGGGTTTGCTCTAACTCGCTCAGCTGTAGGGGGCACGGGGGGAGGGTCTGCAGAGCCCTGCGGGGGATACCCAGCCCTTGCACCACCCTCCTCCATCTCGCATGCTTGGAAATTCCCGCAAATGCTTTCAAGTGTGTTGTAGCCCCAGCAAGGTGAGAGCCTCCTGTGCGGGTGAGGACGCAGCGGGGAAGCGGCCCCGTGGGCAGGTGCCTGTCAGCACCGACACAAGCACACCCTGTGCAGGAGGTCAGTGGCTGGGGGCTTTCTCCTGGCTCGGTTCCCACAGCTCACGGAACCCTCACCTCCTCACCCACCTTGGACTGGCTGCCCGCATGTGCGGCAATGCTCCACTCAGGAGCCCACAGCCAAACTCCATCCTGACACCAGGGGTGGAGGGTGGCGCAGGCCCCCCAGGCAGAGGGCTCGGTCCCTCAGGGCCAGGCTGCCCCCTACGCTGCTGGCTGACCGGCAACCAAGCAGGGCTCCCACCACCCCGTGGGGTCGATGACTCGCCAGAGTGGCTCGCGGAACTCAGAGACACAGCTGCTCACACGCACTGACTCAACACAGAGGCTGTGACTCAGGAACAGCTTCCGGAAGAGCTGCAAAGGATGAGGTGCCGGGCAGGCTGCAGAGCCACACACCCTCTCTGGTGACCAGCCATGTGGCCAGGCTACATAGGGCCCACCCTGCATCCCCAGTCCGCATAAACTCAGCTGTGCTCCCTGGGGCTCGTTGTGAATAACAAGACACGCCACCACCCCAGGTCCCACGGGGTTTTACAGCCTTGTAGGGACAAGGGACAAACGTATTTCTCATTAGGCCATGGCATGCTCTCACAGACCAGCGTGAGTCTCGTTCGCTTTCTCAACCTGGGCTGTTTTAACTTGTAAGGATTTCTTCCAGACACTCGAGTCAGTAGGTACCACGCCAACTCATCCTTCCCCACGGCCATAGGGGTAACCTGAAATTGGGATACAATTTACTTAGAGCCAACCCATCTCCTGGCATTTAAATTGTTTCCAATTTTTTTGCTATAATAAAGCTCTGAAGGCATTCTTAAGAATGTCTACCTGTGCAAGTCTTGTTCCTAAAGTGGCGAAACACGGATTTTGAATGTTTACATGACAGAGGGGACGGGACGCATACCATGAAGACACGGAGCACAGAACACATGGCCCACCCCCGAGCGAGGGGTCAAGGTAAGGGCGGGGAGTACGGTCTCCTCCCAAGCCACTGTGGCTTTGCTATAGCTCTAACAGTTTGCAGAGAACACAAGGGGTTTGGGTCCAGAACGTGTGTGAGAGAACCAACTGCTCTCCTGTCTCCTTCGTAAGAAGCGCAGGTGAGGGAACGAGCCAATGGATTCCATGGGAAAGGCCACAGTCCCTGCCCTGCCTGGCGCTCTGAGGACCTGGGGTCCCAACCACACTGGCTTCCAAAATGTGCGTGTCCTCCCGTAATTCTGCACATGGATAAAAAGGCTCCACTGTCTTTTTTTTTTTTTTTTGGGTAACAAACCATTGCTTTGTTTAAATGGACAAAGGCAAATGGGCACCGTGAGGTGGCCAGATCATTCCGTTCCTGACAGGAAGGTGCCAGTGGGTCCCCCTGCTGCAGACCAGAGCCCGCCTGGAGGACGGCAGGCACAAGTGTGCGGGAACGCCTCTGCAGGCCTCCCAGGGTCCCCCAGGAATGGCCCGGCCACCAAGGGGGAGCAGCATCGCAAACAGGGACTAAGGTCGATGGGCGCCATAACCCGGGTACGCCGCGCAGAAAGAAAGCACATCCTTTCCATGGTTTCTCACCCCAGACGCGAAAGCTCAGCCCAGTCCTAGAAGCCACCTGACAACATAACTGATCTGCACACTTGGAAGCGCACGGCGGGTGGACACAGGACCAGGGGAGGCTGTCCTGGATGGCCCGGCGAATCCGGCCACCCTCCTGTGAACAGCAGGTCTGTGCTGGGGGGAGCGGGGGGGGGGGTCGTGGACAAAGTGACTTCTCCGTGTGCCACAGTGACCTCCTCACAGAGGGCAGCAGCACAGACACGGGACGGCGGGGCGGTGCTGGTGCGAGCAGGCGCCGTCCCCTCCAAGACAGGCTCACAGGGGAGGGGAGCTGGCATGCTCAGCAGGCAGGCCACCCTGGACGCCTGGGTTCAGACCCGTGGGGGGGCTGGGGAGACACAGGGGAGACGCGTGGCCCTCAGGATGGAGCGTGCCCCACACGACCTGGGAGCTGGCATGCAGGAACAGAGCGGATGGCCACGCAGCCCGCCGCCCTGGCCCCCAGGCTGAGACCATGGCCCAGGAGACCCAGAGAGACACCGTGGCACGCCTCAGCCTCGGGGTGGGGGCGCTTGTTTCCCCCCGACCCCGCTGGCCAGAGACCTGACTCCTCGCACGGGAAGGACACAGGCCCATCAGAGGGCCTGCAGAAGATGGCTGGGCTGCTTGCTGTCTGGCCTCGGGCTTCGTCTGCTCAGTGGGGACCGCAGTGCCCCCAGCACTGGACAGTCCCCCCCCCCCGCCCCCTCGTACCAGACTCCACCACGGAGGGAGGGGCTTGCTTGGCGCCTCCTCCGCCATGCTCCTGGTCCGGATTCGCTCCCTCCTCCCGCAGCGCTCGTTCATCTCTGGGCGGGGGGACATGCCGCTCAGCGCCCCGAGCAGAGCCCCTTCCCAAGCCCCTTCCCGTCCCTCCCCACAGGCAGACGGGCACTGCTTGTCTGCTCCTGTCCCGCGGCTTCATGCCAGGGGACCAGCAGGGGCACCAGGACCCTGCCCCAGAGAAGACGGCTGGGCTCTGTCGGTTGGGGCGTCAGAGACCTTCAGAGTCCCCGTGAGACGTGAGGGCATCCCTGACAAGTCGATGTCCTCTTAGCTGCTTGAGTTTCACTTTCAACAGTGAGCCTCTTCTGTCCCCCAATCCCCTCCGCCGGGGCACCGCCATGCTCCTGGCATGGCCTGCCCCTGCACCACGGTGACCTCCCTGCCCCTGCACCGTGACCTCCTTGCAACAGTATCCACTAGACTCACTGCCCGCAGCACAAGGTGAGGCTGCAACACCAGATGCTTGCGGAATTTCTGAACATAAAAACCCACCCCTGGCTCAGCTGTGGTTGCAGCTCTGCGGATGGGACGGGGTCCCAGCAAATCCTCGCTGGCCCTGGGCTTCACCCTTGGCACACTCTGGAGTCCCCAGCCTTGCTCCCCTGCGAGACTGCTCCTGTGCCCTCCCCCGAGGCTGCTGCGCCCCTACCCCCAGCTGAGCCGGGCTCTCTGCTCCCCACCACTCAACACTCCAAATCCGGTAATGACTCTGCACGACATCACCCCTCGCTGCGCCTCTGGACACAGGGCTCCATCTGAGTGTGAAATGGGATGGAAAGGACCCACCCTTTGAGAGGCACCGGGGTGACGTTCTGAGGTGGCCCGACGGGGGTCCACAGGCTGTGCTGAGTCCGAGCCACAGGACAGGACTCTGCACACGGTCACCAAGGAGGCCAAGGAACGTCATCTCAGCAGAGAAACTGAGAAGAGAGCGTTCTCCTGCCCTTGATATTCAAGAGCTTCCTCCCACGGAGGGGTGTGGCATCCTGGCAGCCCCCGAGCCGGCCATGCTGTGTCAGGGAAGCAGACTTGCTGCCCCTACATCCCGCTGTGGCCAGAGCTTCCCCAAGCACCAGCGCCCGGCGCACCCTCCGGGCACCGTCCCGGTCGCAAGCTGGGCTGGGGGCGGGCACTGAGCGGGACTCACGCTGACACAGGGCAGAGATACTACAGGGTCCACAGGGCCGGTGCTGGGGCGGCCGCCGTCAGGAAACGCCATCAAGAAAGGGGCCAAAGTGAGGGAGGAGGGGGACCCGCCTGCAGCAAGGAAAGGGCGCATCACAGTGAGAGGCGAGCCGAGGCGTGCCCCCCGGGCAGCGTCAAGCCCGGGCCTTTGCCCCAGAAGGGTTCCATCACTAGCTCGGACACTAATGTGCCCTGCGAAGCTGCCCGGGCTTGTGGCGAAGCAGCAGGACCTCCCGCCCTGGGGACTGCACTCCAGTCAAGGGCCTCTTTGGGGGTCCTTGGGGGGATGGCTGAGCTCAGGCTGACTGGCTGCCTGGCACCTGTGGCCAATGACCAGCGTGACCCTGCCGGGATGGCCAGAACTCCAGCTGCAGCCCAGAGCACACCCCCAAGTGTCAGCCACACGTGCGATGCATCCCTGCCATGCGGATGACAGCCCAGGGCTGGGAACATTGTGAGCCCTGACAGTTCTGAGGGCCTGAGCTGTCCCTCCTTTCACAGAAGGGACCGGACCCCACTGCACAGCATGTCTGGTGTGGGGACGGGGCAGGTGCACTGCTGACACGTTGCGTTTGCCAGCAAGTCTGTCCCCATCAGGGTCCTGAGAGAAAATACACTCATGCGGGATGATTTCAGGATGGAGGAGGGTTTATTCACATGGGCAGCAGCGGACAGCCCCCAGGGACAGAGCAGGAGCCCAGTGCTGGGGCAGGGGCTGCAGCCGCCCCAAGCCCCAGGAGGAGGGACCCAGGCAGACACACAGGGAGGCATGGGGGGGATAAAGACCCTGCCCTCCCTCTCCCCCTCCTCTCCAACCTCCTGCTGGGGCCCCCCACTGGCCAAACCCAGTCAGAAGGAGAGGGGCACTGGGGTGCTGTGGATGCGGTCCATGCTGGACGGCCTCCCGGGGCCCAGAGCACAGTGGAGACGGGTAGTCGGCGGAGCTGGAGGACAGAGGCGGCCATGAGGACAGCCCCGAGCCAGGCTCCTGGGGGGCAGACCAAAGCCGCCGCATCCAGCAACACGGCCAAGGTGGGGCAAGAGTGAACCGTCTCTGTGCGTACGTCTGTAGCCCGTACCTTTCCTTAGAAAAGACCTGTGAGCCAGGTGATTAGAAGGAGGGGAAGGGAGGGTTAAGAAAGAGTAAGAAATCAGAGAAAAAGAGGAAAGAAGGCAGGCGGGGTGGAGAGGACATGGAGCAATGACGGCCCGAGGCCTGTGCCCACACCTGCCCGAGACCAAGCCGGACAAAGCAAAAACCAACCCTTCCCCAGAAAAGTCATAGCCAGCAGTCCTGGCCCCAGATGCCTGTGCAAGCAGGGGCATCCGGTAAGGCCTTGACGCAGCCCTGCCGATGAGCACTCACCGTCTCCGCTGCTCCATCACCACCTGCTTCTCCCAGTGCTCCCAGATGGCCACAGCCCTGCTCTCCTGGGTCCTCCTGGTGGGGAGCCCCGCGAGCTGTGATGGTACCAGGGCAGGCAGGACGCTCCTGATGGAGGGCATCTTCCTACTACAATCACAGCCCCTGCGATGCACACTCACCCTCAGATGGCCCACGCTAGAACACAACATGCAACATGTACCAGCAGGGCCAATGGGGACAGACGGCACGACAGGAGTGCCCTCCCAGAGCCCCACAGCCCGGGGCTCCTGCTCCAAAGGCTGCAGGCTGGCTCCGAGTCCGAGACACCAGTGGCCTCGCAGGGAGCTCGGGACAGGCCGGCCGGCACACAGCAGGACAAGCCCCCGTCCCTGTTCAGGAGGAGACCCAACTGAGGGACGGCAGGGAGGGAGGGGTTTCTGCATGGCAGGCGTGGAACAGGCCGGGCGGAGAATGTCAATGCCGTGTCACGGCCAGGCACCTGTCTTTTGTGCCTCCGCTACTTCCAAGGTTATCATCCACTAATCAGACTTTACAGAATTTCTAAGCCTTGGAACCGGTGAAAGAACAGTATGATAAACCCCTGAACACCTTTCCCACGGTAAATGCAAGGTTTCCATCTGCTTCTCAGTACGGCCCGGCCCCTGGCCTCTCAGACTCACTCTTCCAAACAGCCCCTCCACGAAGTTGGACCCCCACAGATACACTGGACACATGTCACTGCCATCCACAGAGCTGAGCTGTGTGGCGCCGGGAACCAGAGTAACCACGAGGCTTCTGTGCACCCCCAGGGGCCAATTCCTGTCCCCCTGGAATGGCTTCACCCCCCTGTGAACGTATGATCTGTATTCACCAGTAAGTATTCTCTTTGCATTGATGTCCACAGACACGTGCGTGCACACACACACACACACACACACGCACACAGAGGACTTGTTTTTCTCTTGCGTAATCTCCCCCCGAGGCGTCCATGCTCTGGGCAACCACAATCCTAAGCCAGGCTTAGCGTGCACTGCCCCATAAAAGCTATAGCCAGGCACAGCCTCATGTCTGAGAAGATAATTGCAAAATAATATTACGACTTTGGAAAGATCAAGGAAATACAGCATGGTTTCTAAATCTCACCTGAGCACATGTCTTGGGCTGGAATGTTCTTTCTCCTTCATGTTTAACGCTGCCCTGAGATTTGGAGGCAATTCCATCACTAAGAGCTAGTTTTCAAGCACTTCTGCGTGTTCATGCTCAATGATCTCCTGCCTCAGCTTCCAGAAGCGCTTGATTTCTTCCTCAGCCGGCCAGTCTTCTGAGGAATCCGTGGACTTTCTCAGTTCACTCAGGTCTAGCTTCTCAACAGGCTGGAAAAAGACTGCCTTTTCTTTTAACAACCCTTTTGATCCTGGGAGTTAATGGCATCTTCATCAGGCACAGTTTCTTCCTCAGATAAATACAAGGGCTGTGGCAGCTCACTTAGATTCATCATTGTAACTGGTGAAATCACTAATAGGATAAACTGTTGTTATAGTAGACTGGATTCCACACCAGCTCTCCAGAATCAAACCCCTTGACCAGCTCCCCCTGCAGAGAAGGTCTGGGGGGAAACAGGTTCTCTCTGCAGA